CATCATAATCATTCCATTATTTGATACACGTAGCTCAAACGGGCACCAGTTTCTTTGTTTAACAACTGTTAGATAAGACTTATTAACTTGAATTTGCGTTGTTGCACAAGATTCTTTCATTGCGTAATAATTATGACCTATCACTATGTACATCTAACGCATCACTAGCAGCATGTTTTTTTAGTAATCATGCACAAATATTAGTTATCAAATAGATTTTGCCATATTTTCGGGATCTTATTACATCCTCCATCTAAATCCATTCTCTATTAGTTCATTTTGCTTATTGCCCTGTTTGTTTTAGTTCATTCCTATTACTACTCAACAAGTAGGAATTGCCTATTATCTGTTTAATTAATACTTATCAGTAATAAAAGATCGTCATCTTCATACTGAATATTCCTCATTACCATTTATTTTAGGTGTATAGGGCGCGATCCTGTCATATATGACCTGTTCTATATCGCTACTATCGCCTCTACATTTTATCGATAAAATCGATCTGTTATTGTTTATTGTATAAGTGTAACGTAATTTCTTCTACGTACATTAACTAATGAATATTTTACTCACTATTGTCAATTACTTACTTTTATATTATCAACAGCAACTCATCGGGGCTGCAGCGTCAACCGGCAGGCATGAGGCTAAACAAGCGGACTGCCTACATTTTTATTCGTGTCGGTAATGAATACATCGCACCATGGATTCACACCAGAATAAAGTGGTATACTTCGCAAAATATTTCAAATTTAGAAACAGATTGGATTGATTACTAACATAAAAAAATTATAAGGCTGGTTATGACACTGAATTCACGTAGGTTGTCGTCAGCACTCTTTGCCTCACATGGAAAATCTATCAGTGCACTTATTTCAGCTGTATGTCTGTATTAAGTACAATAAAAATCAAAATACAATTGATATTCACTAGGAATAAAATTTTAATTCACCAGCATTCCCATTCGTACCGACAATTTTTGATAAAATTTACAGAATAATTTATAGCTCATCTGCTAATGCAGAAAGTTGTTTTGTTAGAACCATGAGATTTTCTTGTACCATTACCGCAATTATACAAAATCTTGTTGAAAATAAAAATTGAATTATGACTGTATGAATCGCTACAAAGTATTAGAAATGAAGTAACGTCGAGAAAAGCAGTAAATCTCAAAATCGTTATCACTTTATGAGTATTTCCGAAAATTTACAGCAGGAATTATATAGATAAAGTTTACCTGCATGTTTTTTTATGATTCGATTGTCCTTCTCTATTGCACCAGAGTTTATCAAACAATTGCCGGATTTTCATGAGTGTTCCTAAAATTTATAACAATTTTCAAAAGTTGCTCTAATTGTCGCTTAAGCTACTTTCTGAAATTAAAAAATATACTTTCCGGGCGGACAGTTAGGAATTTAATCTCGCATAATTCCTCACAGCTAGGTTCAACTAAGTAAAAATCTAAAAGCTCCTATCTGTTTACCTTGATGTGCTCAGAACAGAATGGGAGCTTTTCAATATCATTATTATTTTCTCTTAATGTCATGAACATGATCGTGTCTATTATTTTGATGAACTTTAATTATCAGATTTGAATCTTCTATCAATTATTCTCTCTTCTCATCTTATGAGCCTTATAAGCAGTAATGGTAAACAACTTGATTATTATTATTATTATTATTATTATTAACAACTCTATTATTCTAATAAACAGTTTGTTATTGCATGAACTGGAGAAAAATTAAAGTTTTACCCGTGAGCTCATGATGTTATTTTTTCAGAGCACGACGGAGAAGCAGCTTTGCTATTGCTGAGCGGCAGACATTGAAGTTGTAAGACGGTGAATGCTAGCTGCGCGGCATGAGTCCCTTAAGAGGCCCGTTCAGCCGGCTCAGCCGCGTTAGTCGCTAATGTAATTTTATAACTATTACTAGGTCCAATAACTCCCCTCATAAATAAGATATAAGTCTGAAATTTGGAATGCTATCCTGGCTAATTATTTTTAATACGTAGACATTAAGATAAATTATGTAAACTTTTTATTTCAACTGTTATCAGGGAGGATGAAATCTTGCACCCCGATATTCGTAAAGCGTGTGATTTTTCTAGCAATTTCTCGATATACGTCGGTTTAACTATTTATTCTTCATTGATCGCTACCTCAAACATTTCTGAATTATTATTCTAGTATTAGATATAAGCACTTGAAGCCCAAGGGTAGGTGAAACTTCCGTAGATTAAAGCACGACCAGACCTTTGGTTGTCATACTCTTCTGCAAGCGCAGGTAATAAATCTTCACTTCAGGGTAAACATGCACTCTT